TCATTCTTAATAAACTTTACTATAATTACCCTGGCCAAGTAACTTATTATAACGTTATTAAGCACTCACCAGCTCTCACAAGAACTCATATAATATAATAACAATATCAACAATAAATTTTACAAAAATTTTTTATTATTTTAAAATTCATTATTTTGCTTATAATTAAAAATATTTTTTTGTAAATAAAATTATAAAATTAATTGTTATTATAAAAATTATAAAATTAATTGTTATTATAAAATTCAAGTTATAATATTTATTTATATATAATTTATTTTATATATTTTTTTTAATTAAATAAGATCAGAAATTTATAAATTTAGCAAATTTGCTTATTAATCTTTACAAAATAAAAGATAACTTTTTATGTAAAACTTTTTTAATTATTGTTAAGATTTCTTACACCATATATTAAAAATCAATATAATTTTTGATTACAATATTTATTTTTTTTAGAAAATTGAAACAAAATCACATGATTGTTGAGTAAGATTTCTGACACCATATATGTAACGAAGTGATATAAAAATAGATCATTCATTATAATATTACTAACCCAAAAATTCACTTTTCTAGCAATTAGTTATTTTATTATAAGAAACGCATATCGATATATCTTATTATAACAATATATAAATGATTTCGTTGTGGATAATTTTTTTCTTTTACCAAATTTTTTGTTACGAATCCTGCAATATCATCTTTAGCAATATCTATTGACTAAAAATCAAGAATATATCTTTCATTATGAAATGTACTTACTGTCCCAAGACCAACGGAAGATTTCTTGATAATGTCCATAAGAAGTAATTCTTTTTGTAATAGATAGCAGATACTAAAGAACTATTTCGGAACATTCAATAAAGTTACAATTTAAAATACTAATTTTGTATTAGATTTACCTTTCTACCCAGAAACGGTTTTTATTTGGTTTGCGTTACATCTGATGAATGATTGGCTAACAATTATTTAAACTCTGGAACAATAAATTTTATTTTCAACAATTCATTATTCATTCTTGCAACATACAATACAACACATAAAGCAACAGTAACCAGTGCAAATGGCGAATAGAAAGCTACAAAGTAAGCAACATCTCGTTTCTTCAAAGAATTCAAAGAAGAGCAAATTACCTTGTTGTGCTTATTATAAATTCTTGAATAGCTGAAATTGATCGCGTCCTAAAGAAAGTTTCTGAAGGAGTTGCAACCTTTGAAGAAATATTTGAAAAAATCCAAGCTACCAATAATGCAAATCAAAAAGAAAAATTAGAACAAGATCTCAAAAAGGAAATCAAAAAACTTCAACGAAACAGAGATCAGATCAAAACTTGGATATCGTCAAACGATATAAAGGATAAGCGCGCGCTTCTTGATAATCGAAAGCTTATCGAACAGGTAAGTTTTTATCACGAGTTTATTTTGTTTGTATCAATTCATCGATCCTTCGTTAATTGGTTTATACATCTATCGTTGAATTTTTGGATCTGAATCGATCTTTTAGCAAATGGAAAAATTCAAAGCATGCGAAAAAGAAATGAAAACAAAAGCATACTCTAAAGAAGGATTATTGCAATTAACTAAGATGGATCCTAAAGAGAAAGAAAAGATGGAGACATGTGAATGGCTGAATAACATGGTGGAACAGCTTGGTTTGCAAATTGAAGCAGGCGAAGCAGAAATAGAAAGTCTTCAGGTAGTTGTGAAAAAAGGACGAAAAGATTCGCAGAAAATTGATCGACTGACGGAAGTCGAACGTGCAGTTGAAAGACACAAATGGCATACAAATCGATTAGAATTAATACTGCGATTATTGGAGAATGGAAATATTCCCACTGAGAAGGTTTATAGTAAACCCTTTTGTTGTTTTTTATTGCTAATTTAATTTATTAATTTTTTTTTTATGTGTATAACCGATATTAACTAATAGGTTATTAATATTCAAGAAGATGTAAAATACTATGTCGAAAGTAATCAGGTTGGCAAGTACTTTGTTAATTTTTATTCTCATTTATTTATTTTTTGGTTTATTTATTAATAATTTGATGCAAAAATATAGGAACCAGATTTCGCAGAAGACGAAAACATATACGACGATTTAAATTTAGAAGAGGAAGAAGAGCTATACGGTATCGCTAATGAAGATCATCAAAGTAGTCACGAATCAATTAGTGATGGTATTTATTTTAAAGGATTATTTTTTATTCTTTTATAAATTGCGATTAATAACGATTCTCTTTCTTCTTAAATAGAACAACCAACACCACAAAAAGAAGTAAATAAATTTATATTCATTTTATACGGTTCATTTTATAAAAACTATAAATTCTTATTGATTTATTGGGGGGGGGGGTTAGCACTCTAGTCCAGTCATCACATCGCCTACCGTAAGGATCATGCCTAAACCTCCAACAACTGCAGCGACTGCAGTGGCAACAACAGCTATAACAACCTCAGCTGCAGCAACAACAACAATAACTCAAACGCAATCTATTCCTCCGACGCGAAGTATGAATATAATTATGAATATTATAATCAGAATTATAAAGTTGTAAATGTCAGAATAACTATAGTGCTTTGACTTGTTATAAGCAGAAGTCAGCATTAGCACATCTTATGAACCGATATCGTCGACGACGATAACAACTACAACAAAGCCTAAAGAAGGTACAGTTAATAATAATAAGAAGAAAAAGAACTGAGTTTATTTATTTGGACAATAGAAAAATGCATTATCTCAATCTCTTTTTGATTATAAATAGATAATAATAATATATCTTTTGCGGAAAAGATAAAATCTCCTGGATCTACTGCCTTGGAAATTACACCATCTCCACCTTCTTCGGATTCTGTGTATCCTCCACTGAAATCCACAGCAGCACCTCGAACATTAGCAGAGGTTGCAAGGGAACCGTTGGCAACAACTACTTCTTCATCGCAACGATATCTTCCTGCGACTACAGCATCTTCGGCATCACAAGATCCGACTACCGTTTCGATACCTCAGGTAGCTACAGACCAGAGAAATTCATCATCTTTTGCTGGCAATACAGAAACCATCAGAGGTAAATTTCTAATTAATAAATAATGAAATTGATATTCAAATGAAATACACTGATCTTGCGTTTATATTGATTATATAGAAATTTCAAATGAAAATGTTGAGGCTTTGCAACAACAATATAATGAAATTCAGGTAAGTTGAATTATCTTTTCAATGTGTCACTTTATGAAAAATTTTGTTATATAATCAAAATCCAAAACTTTGATTAAGTGGATGAATCATCTTTTGCAGCAACAACCAAAACAACAAATCCGACTTTCACCACCTGTTCCATCTAATACTACTACTACTACTACTACTACTACTACTAATAGTAATAGTAATAGTAATAATAATAGTAATAATAACAATAGTAATAATAATAATAATAATAATAATAATAATAATAATAATAATAATAATAATAATAATAATAATAATAATAA